AAACTGCAGTCTACCCTGAATGAAAGCAAAGCTATGTGGACTTCAGTGGAAGCATCAGCTATACTCATATCATTGTGGGAAAATTCTAATACAAGTATTTTATCATCGAGTTTTAATCCATCATGTAACCCACGCTGGAAGGACGAATAACAACAGTACGAGGCACATTCAGTAAAGTCTGCCTTAAAAATTGGATGTGGACAGCGATCAAACAAAGGGCTACACCATAATGGTCTTCCTGTTTAAGAAATATGACTAAGAATTGTAAACAAACTGGAGTATGACACTGCGTTGTTGAATAATCTTAGATGAATTGTTGATGCATATCTGCATATTCTCATTGATGAGTTCCTATAAGTGTCAGGGTCTGGCTGATCTATGCATGTTTCGCTTAACAGAGATGGAGAAAGTGTCATCAGTAGTAGCATTCTAGTGACACTTTCGTGCATGAGCAGTGGTGCGTTAAGGCTGAATACCGCCGAACACCCCGACCGGCAACATTCCAAGATGCAGAAATGGCTGAGTTAACTTGATGTACCACTTTGTGCAGCAAAATATGCCACTTTTATTACCATTGCAACTCTAATTTTAAGTTACTTGCATCCTTTGGCCATTTGCTATTAAGCGTTCGCCGTGCAACTGGGCGCTTCTGTACCCCCATCTAGCCTCCATATTCACTGCCTCTGCATTAAACCAATCTGTAACAACACCAATTTTTCTCTCCCACTTTGTGTCCAACGCCCTAAACTTCTTTACGTCTGTGCACAGATGACTTGTAGGGGTAGAACTTTGAGTTGAAATGGACAGTTCTTAGCTCAAGAACCGAAAAGTTCTGGAACGGACGATGTTGAGATATTTGATCGAGATAGGCGACCGGAATCAGACCACATCCAACCAGTCAGTCGATGCGACCGAAGCATCCGCAAAGTTGTTGATATTGCGTCGGTAGATGCCAAAATCGGGCCATTCCATCCCCAACTTATATTTAAGGGCGGTTTTGAAGTGGGATCTCTCAAATGAGTTGTTGCGTTTGAGCGCCATTGCGAGGCGCGGTCGTGTGATCCTCAAAGAATGCGTGCACTTGTGCTCTGCTGAGGCCCGAGTCCCACAAATTCCTACCATCCTCATTCGCTCTCGGTTGTCCAGACAACATACAACATGAAGTAAGGCCAGTTTTGTCAGGAGAAGCATAATCTCAGAATGTTCTTAGGTTGGTTGTCGAGGTAAGAAATGACATCAGCAAAGCTCAGCTGATAAACTGGACAGCAGTGGACACGAGCAACTTGTTTCAGGTTCCTCACTTTTGAAAAGG